AGCTATTTTTTTGTTCCTGCCTATTTTTTTGTTGCACTTGTCATTGTTGTTTAGCAGGCCTGGGCCAGCTTTGAACCCACCTGCCTCAGTGTATGTGGTCAGCATCCTAACCACTGAGCTGAGATCGCCAACCTGCACAATTTTTTTCTGAGACAGTCTCACTCTGTCATCCTGGATAGAGTGCCATGGCATCATCACAGCTTACAGCATCCTCAAATTCTTGAGCTCAAGTGACCCTCTTGCTTCAGCCTCCCAAGTAACTGGGAGTACTGGTGTATGCCACCATAACCAGCTAGTTTTTTCTGTTTAGTAGAGATGAGGTCTGGCTCATCCTCAGGCTGGTCTGGAACTCCTGAGCTCAAGCAGTTTACCTACCTGGGCCTCCCAGAGGGCTAGGATTACAGGCGTGAGCCACCACTCTTGGCCTATTTTTTAAGTGTCTGTAGGAAAGCCCTGCTCATTGATTACCTTTTATTTTGACCAAGAAAGAAACGAAATGTTGGAGTGTCAAGGGGTGGGAATGTTGGCAGTGCACTGGTGGGATCTGACTTTCTTGGGGTCGTCTTTGTTCTGGCTCTCACCAAGGAGGTAGATGATCCAAGAAATCATCTGCTCTTCTCAGACCTCAGTTCTTCATTGGCAGAAGGACATCAAACTAGATGATCTTTCAGGCTTCTTTCTTTTTTTTGACCAGGGCTGGGTTTGAACCTGCCATCTCTGGCATATGAGGCCAGTGCCCTACTCCTTTGACCCACCCACCTCAGGCTTCTTTCAGTTCAAACATCTGTAATAACAGTAATTTTTTTTTTTTTTGAGACAGAATCTTTGTCACCCTCGGTAGATACCATGGCATTATCGCTCACAGCAACCTCAAACTCTTGGGCTCAAGTGATCTTCTTGCCTCAGCCTCCTGAGTAGCTGGGACTCCAGGCTCCTGCCACAATGCCCTGCTATTTTTTGTCGCAGTTGTCATTAGATATATATATTTTTTTTTTTTTTGAGACAGAGCCTTAAGCTGTCACCCTAAGTAGATTACAGTGGCATCATAGCTCACAGCAATCTCCAACTCCTGGGCTTAAGTGATTCTCTTGCCTCAGCCTCACAAGTAGCTGGGACTATAGGTGCCCGCCACAATGCCCCGCTATTTTTTGGTTGTAGTTGTTGTTTGGCAGGCCTGGGCTGGATTGGAACCAGCCCAATCCAAATACGCCAGCTCTGGTGTATTTGGCTGGCGCCTTAGCTGCTTGAGCTATAGGCATTGAGCC